CTAAACCGACTGGGCGAGCTGCAGTAGGCGCTTGCACTCGCGTGATCGGTCAAGGTTGTCGTCAGTTGTCTGCGACGCACAACACATCGAACCAGCTCAGCGAGTGTCGCGGGCTTCTCCATCACCATGTCGTAGAAGCAGGAGGCCGATGCAAGAGCGCAGTAGCAAGATCTTGCACGACTATCGACTCTGGCGGGCCTCTCAGCGCTTGGCGCACGCAATGCATGTCGATCGTCGACAGGTCATCTCGGTCCGACCCACCACCTTGGTCCCATGCGTCGGAGCATTGGATCCAGCATGGTTGAGTGAACAAGGCCTTCTTCGCTCGGGCTATTGCTCTTCAGCGAAAACACAAGCCTCGCTGGACCGTCGTCGCCTGCGCAAGGCAGCTCAGAATGTAACACATAGTGTTTCCAGAGCACGTCGCGAGGCCGGCTACTGACAAGTACGGTGGTCTATCGTGCGCGACAGCAAGACGCGAACGCGGTGGACGAGACGTCGAAGAGGTGTATTGCTCGACTACTGCTGGCTCGTGGCTTGCATTTCGAGGCGAAAGCGCCGTTGGGCTTCGTCTTCGACGCGCTTGGCAACGCGGCGCTCTTCAAGGAACCGCTCTTGCAGGAGGAAGCCCGTGTACGCGCCGCCGAGGCCAAAGATCACGGCCATCGCGGCCTTCCCGACGTTGTTGTTGCCGCGCATGCTGGTCGACGTCGGCCACGAACGTGTATCCGGAGTGTGAAACACGTTTTTCACACAAATCACACTGCACACCTTCCATTTGACACAACGCCGCAGGTCTAAACGCACGCGTTGTTTCGGTGAAACCGGTGTACCGTACGCAAAAGCGCCGTCCCACATTGCATCCCCACGGACCTACGTACCGTACCATGGCTCTCAAGGTTGCTTTTAGCCGCATTCGAGCAGTTCCATTCGGTGTATCACGGTCACTTTACGGGCGAGGCGGGATCGGCGCCACCGTAGTTGCGTGTAGGTAGACTATCGAATTGTCCAGCAACCGTTATGTTCTCCGAATCCGCATACTGTCCGGATAGTCTAATTTTAAGCAGAGGTGGCATTAAAATGTTTAATGTTAGCTTGTTGTTTGTATCGACATGTCTGAAATCAATTGAATACGATGCAAATTAATAAAGATCGTGGCAGTTGCAGCCTGGGTTTCGATCTTGCTCCCAACGGACGCCATTAACGAAATTCCATCGCGCTAGCACCATGGGCCTCCTCACGCTCCTCCGCAAGCTGAAGAAGGATGACAGCGAAGCGCGCATCCTCGTGCTCGGCCTCGACAACGGCGGGAAGACGACGATCCTCAAGAAGCTCTCGGAGGAAGACATTAGCCACATCATGCCAACGCAGGGCTTCAACGTCAAGAGTCTGCAGGTCGACGGCTTCAAGCTCAACATGTGGGACATTGGCGGTACGGTGGCATGCAGCATGGCTCCGCTCACATTATGTAGGCCAAAAGACCATTCGACCCTACTGGCGAAACTACTACGAGCAGACGGACGCGTTGGTACGCCCAACACGCCGGGAACCGAGGCTAACGACAACGCGTAGATCTATGTCATTGACAGCGCGGACCGCCGCCGCTTGGAAGAGACGGGCGTCGAGCTCAACAACTTGCTCGAGGAAGAGCGCCTTGCGAGCTCGCCGTTGCTGGTGTTTGCCAACAAGCAGGACTTACTGAACGCGCTGCCTGCGTCCGAGATCTCGACCGCGCTCAACCTGCACACGTTGCGCGACCGCAACTGGCACATCCAAGCATGCTCGGCCAAGTCGGGGAAGGCCTCCAGGAAGGCATGGAGTGGATAGTCAACACGATGAGCGAAGCGCGTGGCCGCGAAGCCAAGTAAGCACGCCTCGCACTCGGGCTGGAGATGGCTGCTGTAACCACATGTGGTTCTTCAATAAATGCCCCATACATGATCTCTGCGCGTCTGCAGCGAGGCCATGTACCCTCAACACCAATGAATGCGGGAAGGAATGGATCTTAGTTGGCCTTGCTATGCCTCACCATGATGGACCGTAGCGCATGGCGCGACTCTTGACGCGACCACCACGTACGAACCACAGTCGCCAACCTGATGGAGGCTGCCATATCCTTAAAGACAAAGGTACGTTGATCCAAGTAGCGACGCCTTTCGCCGACGCTTGTCCCACCGCCGGAGCACGAGAACACCACGGACCATAGCACGTCTTCTCGCCTCGGCCGCATGCAGGAGGCAACGACTCGAGAAGACTGTCTTCTTGGTTTGCTGTCGTATGTCTTATGGCCCTCATGAGGCGGACCCTACCCGCACATCGGCGGAAATGAGTTTCAACTTGATACATTTCGTGCTAGCGACAACATATTGCCGTGGTTTGAGTCAGGTGGGGCAAGGCTTCGGCATCCATGGCAAGGGAGTGCGTCCGGCGTCACCTTGCTTCCCGTGGCGCCTCCTCGATGATGCTTCGACGGCTTGAGCTTGTGCGGCGTTGTCACCACGGTGTCGAGTCCTGCACACGAGGCCAGGCTGCAAGGACCAAGGTCCAGCGAATATGACCATGTCTGCGTGGTCGTCTGCTGGATCGATGGCCCTGCTGCCGCGTCGTACATGCAGAGTGTGTAATCAATTCTGCATTACATTTACAAAGGCAACTCAAAGCTGACGTTGACGTGGACCTCTTCGGCCTGGGCAACAATGTCGGCGATCTTGACGGCCTTCTGGGCGGCGTCGTCCAAGTCGTTGGCGACGATCATGCGGAAGCCGCTGTTTTCGATCAACTGACGGGCCTTCTCGACGTTGGTGCCCTGGAGGCGGATGACGATCGGCTTCTTCATGCCGAGGTCCTTGGCCGCGGCGATGACACCGGCGGCGATGACGTCGCAGCGCATGATACCGCCGAAGATGTTGACCAAGATCGACTTGACCTGCGGGTCGGCGTTCAAAATCTCAAACGCCTTCTTGACCTGCGACTCGGTCGCACCACCACCGACGTCCAAAAAGTTGGCCGGCGAGCCGCCAAAGAGCGAGATGATGTCCATCGTGGCCATGGCCAAGCCGGCGCCGTTGACGAGGCAGCCAATGTTGCCGTCGAGGCCAATGTAGTTGAGGTCATACGCCGAGGCCTCGACTTCACGCGGGTCCTCCTGCGTCTTGTCGCGCTTGGCAAAGATGTCCTTGTGGCGGAACGACGCGTTGTCGTCAAAGTTGATCTTGGCGTCGCAAGCGTACACGTTGCCCTCCGGCGTCTCGGCCAACGGGTTGATTTCGACGAGCGTGGCGTCCGTGCCAATGAACATGTTGTACAAGTTGTTCATGAGCTCGACACCGCGCTTCTGCGACTCGCCCGAGAGACCCATGTTGGCGGCGAGGCGGTTGAGCTGCTCCGAGGTAGGGCCCGTCGTGATGTTGACGGCTTCCTTGAAGATCAATTCCGGCGTCGCGTGCGCAACGTCCTCGATCGAGGTACCGCCGGCGGGCGACGCGACAAGCACGGGGCCGTTCGAGGCGCGGTCCATAAGGATCGAAAAGTACATTTCGCGACGCATGTAGACGCGCTCCATCAAGAAGACCTTGGCGACTTCAATGCCCTTCTCGCCCGTCTGCTTGGTGACAAGCGTCTCGCCAAGCATCTTTTCGGCAAAGTTCTTGGCATCTTCCGGCTTGGTGCACATGTGCACACCACCCTTGAAGCCGTTCTTGAAGTGGCCGAGGCCACGACCGCCCGTCAAGGCCTGCGCCTTGATGACAACGTCCTTGGTCGCGTCGCCGCCCTTGAGCGTGTTGTAGGCGGCCTCGGCCTCGGCCGGCGTCGTCGCATGGAGCGAGGCCGGGATCGCAACGCCGAACGACTTCATGATCTCCATCGACTGGTACTCATGGAGGTTGAGGCGGCGGACTTGCTGGCCCGGCGCGCGGAGGAGCGGCGTGGCCTTGGCGACGGTGCGGAAGAGGCTCATCTTACTTTGGCACGGCAAATTGTGAGGTGAAGACAAGACCACCAATATTCGGTCAAGTCCTAATTAGGACATAACCGCACCTACCCCTACTTCAACCGCTCAACGGACGACGCACTTGACATTTGTATATGGCCCCAATTCGGAGATTGAAATTCGGCTTTTGAGATTCGACCATAGATTTCGTAACCCGATCCCTGGATGAACCAGGCCGTCGAATGGCCGCGGGCCCGATGACGTCGACGCCGCCAGTACCCGCGGCCCATGGACGTGGCCCGCCATCGCTGCCTGCGCATGGCGGCGCTCGACCCAAGTAGCATGATGGCAGGCAATGGCGCCGCTTGTAGCCGCCCATGAAGCGAGATGCCGTCATTATACGGGAGATTGCGCAACGCAGCAAGCGCTCGCCATGTAAGCATGCTTGCAATGCGTATGGAGACGACGCGATGCATACAGTGGGACAGCCAAGGCCCGCATCTTCGCCAGAGCGCGCTCCACGTCAACGATGTCGGTGGTCGGTGGAAGCGTAGGTGGAAGCGTCGGCGTGTTGATCGTTCGTTGCCTTGATGCTTCCGCGAATGCGTCGAGCTACTGCACGGTAGCATCGATCCGCCTCGCGGGATAGATCGATCGCTATGCGCATGCAATATCATACCGGTGTACCACAGAGCAGGGCTCTCATTTCTTATCGCTTTCTGCGTGTGCAAAGTGGCAGACGCCGGATCGCTGCCATGGGCACGTACGGCCACGCAGGGACGCCGCGACCTACACCTGCGATGGACGCGTTGCAATGTAATACACCGTCGCAGAGGAGGCCAGTTGGGTGCGACTCTTCCTCGCGGGGATCGGCTGCATGCTGCCACCTTCGTGACACGCTTATTTTTAGACGCGATGGTCGCGGCCTTCCCGTTCGTCGGTGCGCCGTCCTGCCACGTCAGCACCATGCCGACGCTCCTCTGTAGATGGCCTTCGG